GAGCCCTCTGAAACCAGGAGCTGACTGGTAACTGAGCCCTCTGAAACCAGGAGCTGACTGGTGGATGGAGCCCTTTGAAACCAGGAGCCAAAACAAATCTTCCTATCCTTAAGTTGTTCTCCCAGACATGTCGGTCACAGCAGTAGGAGACTAACACGAACACAAACAGCTACAAACAGAAGAGCAAAAACAGTTTTTACCTTTGGAGGAGGGGGCTTCTTTCCCAGTGTAAGGCTGTAACTTTACCCTCTTCTTCCCTCTCTTAGACTCAAATGTATCATTTATTTTCAAAACAAGCTGGGGGAAAAAAAAGGCAAGAAAATTACAAGTCAAAGCCACCAACCAAAAAGGATCTCTGCATGACTGCATTAATACATTAAATGCTCCTTTGGAGGAAAGAGTAATAATAATTGGATAATAAAATAATTAAACTAACAACTAAAATAACCGAATAATAAATACCTTCACATTTTTCAATTTTGGGTTAAAATAGTATCATTGGATGATGTGTGTTCTCATACCAAGTGTCTACAACCCAGGAAACAAGAGTTCAAAGGATCCTGCCCTTCCAGGTGAACCCAATACAGCTTCTTGGAGAGGTTTTGTGTCACTCTGTGTCACAACACGCTGGGAATGTGGCTACTGCCCTCCCTCTAGTGATTAACACTTTGCTCAAGTTTTCACTTGCTCGGAAGGGGAGCAGTAACCCACTGTAGGGCGGGGCTTAGTTATTTCTGCTCCCAGGAGTTTCTCCCAAGAGGAGACAATCCTGCTTTTGGAGCTTCTGTCACAAGAAGCGCACTCTGCCCCTTCGAATATAAATGCTGCAGCTTATGTTAGCGAGGCCATAAAAATGGGGGCTCAAATGACTCCATGCACAACTATGCTTTCCTCCCACTCCACTCATCAATCCATACCTCAAGCAACTGCAATCAGAGCACTCATTTTTAAATTGTTTTACAGCTGTTTCTATTTAGTAAGCATTACTCAGAATTCTTTCCTAATGCTGGGGAAAAGGTATGTGCATACAGAAGAGAGTCAGACACACAAAGAGATACACACAGACTGAGGTGAAAAAGAATACAAGAGCAGAGTTGTGACGTCAACACACATTTTAGAACAAGGAGCTGATTAACCTTTCTATGCCCACTTTTCTTTTTCTCTTAAGGTTCCAAGTTGTTTGATTTAACACACAGCCTAGCCAGAACTGTCAAGCACTCTGCAGATGAGTAGACAGTCTGTTGAGAAGAGTGCTCATGTTCTTTGTCTGTGTGGGTTTTTTTAGCAGTCCACAGGCAGCGAGCCGAGTCAGTCCACTCCAGGCAAAAGCACGTGAGGAGCATGTGCAGATCTCCACATCTGTACAAGCATTTGCTCTCTTAGGGGATTTTTGCAGCTGCCATTCAGGTGAAAAATTGCCAGTGCTCCTCAGTGTTGCCTTCACAAAGAAGCAAGCAGGAGAACCCAAGAGAGAAAGCTGCTTCCATGGACTGCAGAAAAGTTTTAGATGCAGAAACACCAAAGGTAGCATAAACATTAATGTGGATTTACAAAGCAGAATCAATGGTATGCCCACTATTTTGAAGGAAACTACTGTTTCAGATCAAGTGGCAACCTACAACTCTGGTTACGAAGCAGGACTAGGAGCCTGCACTTACCTTGCAGCTGCAGCAAACCCTGCAGAGAGCAGCTGCTCACCCGACAGACCTAACAATGAAGCATCAGGGAAGGCGCCAGCAATCCCCGCAGAGGCTTCCAGAGCAGAGAGAGGAAGGAGGTAGGGGCCATGCATATGAGCTAGATCCGACTGAAAGCAACTTCCCTTCCAGGGAAAGCTGGAGCCGTCAAAGAGGACATAAATGAAAACTGCTTTTCTCACAGAATGTTCCTGAAGATACTCAAAACAACCAAAATTTGTATTGCGTCTGGGATATCCTAAAAGGACTTAAAGGTCTACAAAGTGAGTCCAGGACAGCCAGGGCTACACAGAAAAAAACCTAAAAAAAAAATAAGATAAAATAAAAAAATAAAAAATAAAAAAGAAGAGGAAGGAAAAGGGAGAAAAACAGCGTGGGAGACAGAAGCAGGTAGATTTCTGTGGGTTGAAGACCAACCTGCTCTATATAGAGTTCCAGGACAGCCAGAGCTACAGAGAGACCTTATCTCACCAAAAAAGCAAACAAAACAACAGAAAACTCAAACCAACAGCAAAACTAATATTTGTGACAATTCACTATGGATATGGATTTCAGTAAACTTGGTTAGAGGCTACCAACATTTAGAACTCTTTTTCAAATGTGCGTAATCAACACCTGGCCTCATAATACATGACACATCAGAACATGGAGAGAAGAACTGCTTCAGCTTTAGACCAGGTTGGTCTATGTAATGAGACCCTGTCTTACTTTTTTTTTTTAATTTTATTTTTTTCTTATCAGTTACATTTTATTAACTCTGTTTCCCAGCTGTATCCCGTTCCCTCATTCCCTCCCAATCTCACCCTCCCTCCCTCATCTCCACCGTGCCCCTTTCCAAGTCTACTGATAGGGGGGACCTCCTCCCCATTCATCTGACCCTGTTTTATCAGATATCTTCAGGACTGGCTGCAAAGTCCTCCTCTGTGGCCTAACAGGACTGCTCCTCCCTTGGGGGGTGGGGAGGTCAAAGAGCCAGCCATTGAGTTCCTGTTAGAAATAGTCCTTGTTCCCCTTACTATGGGAAACCAATTGGTTACTGAGCTACCACGGGCTACATCCGAGCAGAGGTTCTAGGTTGTATCCATACATGGTCCTTGGTTGAATGTCAGTCTCAGAAAAGTCCCTGTGCCCAGATATATTTGGTCCTTGTGGAGCTCCTATCCTTTCCCCATCATACTAACTCCCCGTCTTTCATATGATTCCCTGTACTCTGATGAAGGTTTGGTTATGAGTCTTAGTATCTGCTTTGAAAACACTGCTAGGTAGATTCTTTCAGATGCCTTCTGCAGTAGACTCCTGTCATACGTTCAATGCACATCCTATCTGTCTTTCTAAATGAGGATTGATCATCTTACCCCGTGTCTGCTCTCTTGATTATCTTTTTTTAGGTGTATAGAGTTTGTCTTTCTCCTTCTGGGATATTTCACTCAGAATGATCTTTTCTAGATCCCACCATTTGCCTGCAAATTTCATGATTTCCTCCTTTTTGATTGAAAACGTTTAATGTTGAGAGAGTTGATCCTATCATCTGTTATTAGGGAGTAAATAAATCAGCAGCCGGCACACCTTTAATCCAAGTACTTGGGAGGCAGAAACAGGCAGATCTCTGAGCTCAACGACAGCCTAGTCTAAAGTGAATTCCAGGATAGCCATGGCTATACAGAGAAACCCTGTCTCAAAAAACCAAAAGAAAAAGAAAAAGAAGAAGAGAAGAAGGAGAAGGAGGGGAAGGAAAAGAATCAGCTTCTGGTATCACTCAGCAGTGGAAGGCAGCACCAGAAGGGAGCAGCGCAGAGACTCCTCAGCTCCCTCTTGCTTGTCCTCTGAGGTGCAGGATTGAAACAGGCCTCACACATGTAGGACAACTGCTTTAACACTGAGCCACACTCCAGCTCTCTTCTGTATCACTTAACCGGGCTGTCCACAATTTCCTGACAGTTGCTAATGCCATCTGAAGGGTCTAAGGAGTCTGTATCCTCGCCCCAGGAACACATGACCTGCTGTTCTGGTCACACCGAGGCTTCAGTAAGTGCCAGAGTCATCTTCCTGAGAAGAAAGCTCCTGCAGGATGCCTGCCCAAGTGCAAGGGCAGGAAACAGACCAGAAGAATTAAGTTAACTATGGAACATGACATTTACTGAGGATCCAATTAGTGGCCACTAACCCAAGAAACAGCTGAGACTTTTATGTTAAAGTCAGGTACAAAATGTGTGTGCTAAATGATATTTGAGCTAATTCACCAGGCACTATGGAATGAAAAATATTTCAATTATCTGATTTCTTCATTACAAATATTATCTGCTACTCAACTGTGTCAGTCCTGAAAACATCTTAGTTAAATATTTTTGTGTAACCTTATAAAAGTCTCTCCTAAAAGAAGATAAGGCTACAAGTAACGTCATTAAAAAAATATTCTGAAAAAAAAAACCAAAAAAACAAAACAAAAACATTCTGCTTCGCAGAGAGGAGCTTACTGCCTTTCCTATCCCTTGAAGGCAGGTCATTTATTTCAGATGTTTTTGACAGTGTCTAGTACCAAGTAACAGTCTGGTTTCCTTTTCTCCATCTCTGAATGGACATTTTAACCCTAATAAATGGCACATACTTCAACATTACTGTAAACGCCGGAAGGAGACTGACCTCGCTTTGGTACACAAATGAAGGGGCATAAACAGACTCCTTTTGTTTGAGTCTGGCATTTCCTTGAGACAGGTGGTTGATTTCCAACAAGAGCCAGGATGACAGAGGTGAAGCCCCTCTATCTGATGTCAAGTTTCCAATCCACAAAGGAAGAACGCCAAAAGCCATTAGTGTAAATGCTTGAATGAGCAAAAATTCAAAACTCAAGGCTGCTTTCCAAATCTAATTCCAACAGGTAAGTTCTAACCTATTATTAAGTTCATTCTAATGAATTTGTTCTCCTTTATTAAAATGCTGGGGTAAACATTTGAAGAATGAATGTGCTGGACTCCTCACCTGTGGGAGATTTCTCTTTTTCCTGTTAGCCACTTCTCCAGCTCGGAAAAGCTTCCATTCCGTTAAGGTGACAGGCAAAGTGGTATCCTTCATGAGCTTGGATCGCAAATATGCTTGAGAGTTCTTCAGTTCCATTGTCTTCCGCTGAAGGAACTGGGGTTTGGGAGGGAGCTAAAATGGGAGACACACTGGTAAAATGAGATCTCCATGTAATGCCTATGTTTTCATACAAAGTCAAAGTTACCCTGAAAAATGCTTATCTTTTCTTTAAACCCATCTCAAATGGGGATTCTGCAATTCCTTCTCATTTCAGTAATGTAGCTTGTCTGTTTTCTAATCCAAAGTTCTACCTCGTGACCTAATCAAATTCCTGTAATAGCTCATCATCTCGACCAACTCAAACAACGGTCTCAAAGCTTCAGGGAGTGAGGAGGTAACCCAGGCCACAGGCTGAAATGAGCTTAATATGGAAACTACGGAGAACTGAAGAGTTCACGGCCTGCCTTAAGCACAGCTACTTAAGCCATGGGTTATGACCTGGTACTGTGACTCTTGGGGTGATTTTTTTGCACTGTGTAAAGGTTTTCTTTGTGTTATTCAGATGCTCATTTCTGTACCAGCCTGAACTTTGGTATTGTTAAGAATCACCTGTCTCAATGTTTTGTACACTTCTCTCACCTGATTGGTTTAATAAAGAGCTGAACAGCCAATAGCAAAGGCAGGCAAGGAAGGCAGAACTTCCGGCAGAGATAGGAACTCTGGGAAGGAGTCAGGAAGGGCACCACGGGCTGTGGGGGAGCTCCAGGCTGTGCTGCTGGCTTCTCTAGACAGGAGCACCTCAGGACTCCAGAGTGGCTGAGGTGAAATCTCCATAGCACTGGGGCCTGAGATAAGATGCCTGGAGAAACTGAGAAGCTGAAGCCGCATCTGGGGCCTCAGGATGCTACTGACAGGACACTCCAGGGTGTGTCTGTGTGAGTGAGTGAGTGAGTGTGTGTGTGTGTGTGTGTGTGTGTGTGTGTGTGTGTGTGTGTGTG